GAAAAGTTTGGGACCCCCTGCTTTAGTCTACAGCTGTGCTGCTGTTAAAAAGTCACATTTAACCTGAAAACCAGAGCTTCCGTTGGCGTGCGCGCTCCCGCCGGCAGCCCGCGCCTGCTGGGACGCAGAGTTCAGCACAGCACCGGTGTCGGCGCTCCTCTGGAAGCAGCAGGTCGTGACAGGCTAGCTGCAGCGGGCTGTAAACATGGCGGCGTGCACAGCTACAGGGCTGTGCCGAACACCCGGTCACTGTTAGCCCGAGAGACGCGGACACCCCGAACATGGAGACCGAGGAGGAGCAGCACATAACCACGCTCCTCTGCATGGGCTTCCCAGATCCGGACGTGATCCGGAAAGCGCTCCGGCTGGCGAAGAATGACATCAACGAGGCAGTGGCGCTCCTGACGAACGAAAGCCCCGGACTCGGGTATGGATATGAACCCATGGAGAGTGGGCCTTCCTCCGGCTTGAGCTCGAGTGGAGACGGGGAGAGCAGCGGGCGGACCGGGACTGGGTTTGATCCGCCTCCAGCATACCACGACGTGGTGGATAGCGAGGTAAGAACATGGCTTCAAACGGCGGCGGAGGAACAAACCCGAGTGGAACATGACGGACCCGGGCCGGGCCGGGCCGGGCCGGGCTCGCCCTGTTAGCATGTAGCTCAGAGCTGTCACAGCCAGAGGTTGATTATAACATCCAGTGTGACACCACAGAGCAGGGCAGTGCTTTATTCTGACAGGAAAACCAACAAACAGCAGGATAAAGTGAACAAATAACGAAGCTAAAAGGATATTTTAAACTTAGAAGCTAACCTGGCTAGCTAGGCTAGGCTAGGCTAGGTCAGTGGAGCCTCGCGCCAGTAGCTCAGAAACAAACTGGTTCACCTGCTGTCCTGTTCAAGAGCTTTTAATGAGGCTAACTCTTACTTATAGTTGATCTAAACAAGTGTCTTAATGTTGTGTATAAATAGTTAAATGACTGATGAAGATGAGTCATTGATATTTTTACTAACTAGTGCCTGACCTCCAGGTGTGTTTATGTGATGCAGACACTCACATCTTCCATATCTGGAGCACTAAAGCACTAACACAACTAATTTCATGATTAGTGCTTAGGGCTTTTACTCATTTATTAATTCATTAGTGGATTAGCACTTGTTATATTTATAAACACTAATTGAGTTCTTTAAATATTATTGATCAACATTTGTTAACAGCTGAGGGTGAAAACTGATCAGTGCTTTTCTAAGTTTTGCTTCTGACCCACAAAACAACAGTTGCAGACACTCATGACTTGTTTGTGTATTTAAACTGTACTAATAACACTGTTTAAACTGTGCTAATAACACTGTTAAAACTGTGCTAATAACACTGTTTAAACTGTGCTAATAACACTGTTTAAACTGTGCTAATAACACTGTTAAAACTGTGCTAATAACACTGTTTAAACTGTGCTAATAACACTGTTAAAACCGTGCTAATAACACTGTTAAAACTGTGCTAATAACACTGTTAAAACTGTGCTAATAACACTGTTTAAACTGTGCTAATAACACTGTTAAAACCGTGCTAATAACACTTTTAAAACTGTGCTAATAACACTGTTTAAACTGTGCTAAAAACACTGTTAAAACTGTGCTAAAAACACTGTTGAAATTGTGCTAAAAACACTGTTTAAACTGTGCTAATAACACTGTTAAAACTGTGCTAATAACACTGTTTAAACTGTGCTAATAACACTGTTAAAACTGTGCTAATAACACTGTTAAAACCGTGCTAATAACACTGAGAATGAAACTATAAACAAACAGTAACTATGATACTATTTTATTCATTTATAATTACTTAAAAATTGAAACAGTCATGATGAAAATACTCCATTAGCATTTTTTACATTTAAATTGATGTTTGGAAGTCATCTGGGGACCCTCACTTGATGTTTTGTGACCCACAAAGAGGTCCTGACCCCAACTTTGGAACCATTACACAAGATGAAATATTAACAATGTTAACAATAATTAATATAATAATATAAACAACATTCTGCACACAGGAAGTATTCTCATGTTGACTCTGAGGAATGTTCCATGGGTCAGCTGGGATTTTACTGCTTTAGAATTAGGGGAGGTAAATATTAAAGTTAGTGCTTTAGAATTAGGGGAGGTAAATGTTAAAGTTAGTGCTTTAGAATTAGGGGACCTAAATGTTAAAGTTAGTGCTTTAGAATTAGGGGACCTAAATGTTAAAGTTAGTGCTTTAGAATTAGGGGAGGTAAATGTTAAAGTAAGTGCTTTATGGTTTAGTGCACATAAATATTAAAGTTAGTGCTTTAGATATAGGGGAGGTAAATATTAAAGTTAGTGCTTTAGGGTTAGTGCACATAAATATAAAAGTTAGTGCTTTAGAATTAGGGGACGTAAATTTTAAAGTTAGTGCTTTAGAATTAGGGGACCTAAATATTAGTTAGTGATTTATAATTAGTGCACGTAAATATTAAAGTTAGTGCTTTGTAATTAGGGGACGTAAATATTAAAGTTAGTGCTTTGGAATTAGGGTGCGTACATATTAAAGTTAGTGCTTTGGAATTAGGGTGCGTACATATTAAAGTTAGTGCTTTAGAATTAGGGGACGTAAATATTAAAGTTAGTGCTTTAGAATTAATGCACGTAAATATTAAAGTTAGTGCTTTCGAATTAGGGAACGTAAATTTTAAAGTTAGTGCTTTAGAATTAGGGGACGTAAATTTTAAAGTTAGTGCTTTAGAATTAGGGGACGTAAATATTAAAGTTAGTGCTTTAGGATTAGTGCACGTAAATATTAAACTTAGTGCTTTAGAATTAGGGGACGTAAATTTTAAAGTTAGTGCTTTAGAATTAGGGGACGTAAATATTAAAGTTAGTGCTTTAAGATTAGAGCACGTAAATATTAAAGTTAGTGCTTTAGAATTAGGGGATATAAATATTAAAGTTAGTGCTTTAGAATTAGTGCACATACATTTTAAAGTTAGTGCTTTAGAATTAGGGGATGTAAATATTAAAGTTAGTGCTTTTGAATTAGTGCACGTAAATATTAAAGTTAGTGCTTTAGAATTAGGGGACGTAAATTTTAAAGTTAGTGCTTTAGAATTAGGGGATGTTAATATTAAAGTTAGTGCTTTAGAATTAGTGCACGTAAATTTTAAAGTTAGTACTTTAGAATTAGTGCACGTAAATTTTAAAGTTAGTGCTTTAGAATTAGGGGAGGTAAATATTAAAGTTAGTGCTTTAGAATTAGGGAAGGTAAATATTAAAGTTAGTGCTTTAGGGTTAGTGCACGTAAATATTAAAGTTAGTGCTTTAGAATTAGGGGACGTAAATTTTAAAGTTAGTGCTTTAGAATTAGGGGATGT